GTCCTTGTGAGGAGGGTTTTAAAGCCTGCAGTCTATTCTTCTACCCATCCTCTGTCACCCTGTCAGCTGGGCAATACCAGCCATGCCAGGTATGTTTGTGCTCTAGGAAGTTTTGGAACAACACCCCGCACACACGCACCCCCCCACACACCCCCTCCTCCTTTATCTTTTCATTGAAAACAAAACTGGCCCAAGAGAATCGACTGGTTGATCATTTTTTGGATGTCTGAGGGTTCCCTGATTTAGCCCTTTGGAGCTCACAGAAGCATGAAATCCCTGACAGTCTCCCTCGGCAATGGCCCGGCTGAAGGCAAAATGCCACCGCAGACACGGGACAAGTTTCAGCCCGGAACCTGCCCTTTCGCTGCCTCCTCCCGTCTCTCTCGCAGCTCGAGGGGCTCCTCGGCAGGTAGAAGCGAGTTTGGCGAGGAGGCGAAGAGGAATCAATGAGGGGACTCGGGCAGACACCACGTGGTGGGCTATTTTGGAAGAGCATCTTAAAGGGGACGTGCTCCCCAATCTCTTGATCACTCCCTGATGGCGAGACCTAAATAGCGGGATCCAGCAGGACTTCCTCCAGCCCCGCTCCGTCTCCAGCAGGTAAGATCCGGCTGCAGAGCCCGAGCCAGTGCCTTGGGGCCGATGTCCAGGGGACACGATGCTTCCCGTGTCTGCCTGGTCCGGGGGCTGAACTTGGGGCGTGTGTCCGCGGGCTGGGCTCCAGGGGCGCGTGTGTGTGGCTTCGGCAGAAAAGCCCCGTGTCTCTCTCCCTTTCCCTTTCCGTCTTGGTACTGTTGCTGGGGGGTGACCCGCGACACAACCAGCGGCTGGGTTGCAAGCTCAGCCCGCCGCCCCCCCATGTGCCCGGAGCACCCGGGCGGCCCCTCCGTGCGGTGCGGCGCGCGGGAGCCCCCAGGGCCGCGGCTTTGCCTTGCTTGCAACTTTCTCCCCGCGCGATCTCTTCCCCGGCTTTGCTTCCTCCTTGCCAAGCCCCGCGTCTCCCCCGGGGCGTCCCTCGGCGCCAGCCCCGGCACTCCCCGCCCGGGCGGCGCGGTCGCCTGTCCCCGGGCGGCAGGTCCCACCTGGAGCCGCCGAGGGCAGCTCTGCCCGAGTCCCCGAGCCCCAAGACATCGCCGCCGCTTCCACCCCCCGCTCCTGTTTTCCGCTTTTTCCATCCATGATCGGCGTTTAAAATATTACACAGATATTTTCACACCTAAAACTGTTGTGTTTTTTTTCTCCCTTTCCTTCCCCTTCCCAGTCCCCATCGCCTTGATTCAGCCCTTGGTAATTAATTTGGCATTTCAGAGTAGCTACTGGGCTGGATAATGCCTGCATTCATCCCCTCGGCCTAATCTGAACAAAATCTGGAAGAAAAGCTTTCAGAAAGACAGAAACTGCCATTCGGTTACTGTTCAAAAGAACTGTCACTCCCTAGGAATAAATCGCTCCTGATTATTTCCAACGGGGGCGTCTTTGGGTTTCCAGAAACCCTACGAGGACAGGGAGGGGGGGGGGAAGAGCTTTATCATCATTTCTCCAGGGGCCGATTTGCCCGGGCGTTTCTTTTCTGCCGATCGTAATAACAGAAAACAATAGCGTGCAAGAGGCGGCGAGCGGGGCGGGTGGAGGACAGGAGCGGACACAGAGGCCGGAGTGATTTGACTTTTACAGCAGCGTCCGGGCTTGCGTGTTGGTACAATTTTAAAATCAACCCCCCCGCGATCTCTCTATAAAATTGCAGCTGAAAAGGGCAGGGCTGAGATTAGATCCAGCAGCCGAATAATCCCGGGACCGGGAGAAGTTGCCCCGTGCGCTCCCCGGGACAGAGCTGGGGGGGGAGCGGTGCTCCGGGCCCCTCTCTGGCTCGGCACGAGGAATGGGGACGGGGCCCGGCCTCTCGGCTCGGGGGGCCTCTGGTGCTTCCTTATCCCTGCCACAGCCCGATCCCTCCAGGGGAAAGAAACTTGAGCCGGGGACTCCCCCGGCGCAGCGCCGGCTGCAGGGGTCTGAGCGGGTCCGAGGCGACGCCGGGGCTTGCTTGCAGCTTGCTAGGAAGCAGAGGTTTTCCCCGGGGCGGAGGCTCGCGGCCACACGAGCCCCTGGGAGTTTGCCTCGGGACTTTTCCGTGTCGATGCCCGGGGGTCGCGGGGAGCTGGTCCGAGGCAGCGCTCGGGAAGGGCAACAAGTGCGTGCGGGAGCGCCGGGGAGCCGCGGAGAGCTGCCGGTGCCTGCCCGCGGCTCCCGGGGAGGGCGGCGGGGCTGCGCGGAGCCGGAACGACCCAGCTCCGGGAGCTCCCAGAAGCGTCGATTCATTAAACGCCGGCCTTGCCTTCCGCAGCAAGGTCTTCCCCTGTGCTCCCGCCGGGTCCCGGCATCCCCGCGGCGGGGGAGCCAAGCCTGTGCTCGGGAGTGCAGCGAAACACGTACCTAACCCGGCCACTCCGCCTCCCGCGCGGCACAAGGGGCCACCCCGCTGTCACCGCGGCCGCCCCGCGCCCTCCCGCTCCCTCCGGGGCTGATCAAGAGTTACCCACGCGCGGGTCCACCGCAAATTGCGAATTGCGAGCCTCCCGGGAGACCCCCTCCTCGGCACCGGCGGCCCATGCGTGGCACGGGGAAGAAGCCGGACCCACGCGTTAATCAATGATAACCCGAGCCCGGCTGGGCGGGTTGGAAAGCCAGCCGTAGCAGCCGCTGGTTTGCTGGGGGGGGGGTCCTGGCCTGCAGCCCCTCAACCCCTTCTTCCAGCGTCCGCAACCCTGTGTTCAACCTTAGAGGATCGGAGGTTTCTGAACGCCGCCGGCTGGCCCCCGGCCTGCCTTCCGAGGCCCC